GATAATATTATAATATCACGATCGTCAAAATTGATACACAGCTACTTGCTATTATAATATGTGTATATGCAGCACGCAGTATGCAAATTACAAACTATATCCCCATTCAATTCGTTGGCAATCACTGGTAGATTACCTACCTATACGTCCTACATATTTCGTATTATCAGTAGGTAGTAAATACGATGACAAAACGCACGTTATGTGGCCCACTTCTATAATAATAAATTATAACTACAAGTTACAACTGCAGGACGGTTGTGAATCACGACTTGTGATTTATATTTTTATTTAATTCGGAAGCTGTGATGACAATCGAGTATTAAACACAAATTTGAGTTGATATATTTTTATCACATTGCAGTATTAAACGACATGCCTATATTAAATATTGTTTTTAATTTTAATTTTTGCATTTAATTAAACATTTAAAGCAAAGATTCTCAAATTTTTTTTCCACGTACCATACTCATGTGTATTATGAATCGGTCATGTACCAAAAATGACTAAAAATAGAACTATTCAAAGTCAGTACCTATTTGTACAAAACTAAAAATAATATTAGAGTCGTTACAAACATTGGTGAAAATATTAATTTTTAGTTTTTCATAAGTACTAGTGTACTACCTATTACCTACCACCACACAGCCTTCCGCGTATCACATTATACAGCCTATTCCGTGCCACAGTATAAAAACCGTTTAATTATACTCGTAAAGCTTAAATATATCAACGTTTAAATTCAATCACGACTTTATTTCAGTTCTGATCTTAATATAAATTATATAAAAATAAATAAAAATGCGTATTGATATTATTACTAGCTATTTTTATCTCATTTCACTCAGTTTGACAATTATTGGTTGAATTATTATATTAAGGAATACCCACGAAAGAAGAAGAAAAAAAAATCAAAGGTGAAAATCCATTGAGCAGATTTCAGTTTACTGAAAATATTATGTTCGTCATTTTTCTAATTTCAGTTCTTAATTTATAAATAAATGAAATAAATATTATTAATATAAGATTGTACACTTAGATCTATTATTACCGAAATGTTTAATGTAAATTCTAAAAATTATGAATTGTGCCCGAAAAAAATGTGGTGAGTTGACTGCATTGATTAACAAAACTGATAGTACCTAAATTTATATTATGACTTCACTGTTCATTTTTAAATATACTAAAAACAAACTTTGCATATTGGAATAAGTAATATGTACAGTTTATATATTATGTCTATGAATAACTATCAACCAGATAATGCCTATATATTTTAAGACATTAAAGTATTCAATCTATTTTATACCAACATAAAAATGCTACGGTTTTATTTCAGTGCGAAACTTTATAAAAGCTCTTATAAAACTATTGTGCTCAAAAAATTATTGTTCAGCGAAAAAAGGAATTGTAAATATTAGTGCTGTAATTTAAAAACCACTCCCGCTAGAATTCTGAATATTCAATATAGTGCTGCATATTTACATAATATCTCCAGGTAAAAATATATAAATTTATGTAAATCCTATTGGTTATTTTCATTTTTTAATTAATATCACGTCAGTATAACAGAATCTTAATTAGATATAGTAATTACACAATACTGTAATCGAATAGTCATAAAAATAATAGCAAAAACGAATGAAAATTGTTATTTATGTTAAGGTTACCTAAGTATAAATGTAATTGATTCATAATGTATGGTGATTATTGTATTATCAAAAAAATAATATCTACTTATGCTTAATTAATTATTGATTAAAATATTAAATTTTCTATTTTTTTTTTTTATTTTATACAAGGCACCTACTTGCAACTGCGAGGTTGTTGGCCGTCGGTTATATTATTTGTGTGTATTACACACTTTCAGACTTCAGTGAACATGGAATCGAAAACTTCATATAATTTCTCAGACCTATCCCTCATGTTTATATATAATTTAACTTGAACTATACAATAATATATAATTTACCTATACAGTATACTGAATAATATTAAAATTCATTGTCATTATTGAGCAAGATGTTTGTTTGCATATTTCACTGTCATAATTTAAATCTTTTTTATATAGGTATTAAGTATTTTTCTAATGAAATAAAGTATAGTAGGTATAATAGTTAGTTTAAGTTTTTAGATTATGGTACCTATCTACCTGAATAAGAATGAAAATAAAAATAATAAAATATTGTTTTATTTTGCTGAAATGTTATTTTTCAGAGTACTTTTTATTTGCTTTTAGTTATTTGGAGGCAAAACAAAGTTTTCCTTAAATTCATAAATCAGGCTTATATACCAACATTTACTCGAATTAACGCTCACCCCAACATTAAATTAAGAAACCAATATACCTGCCTTTCTTACGTAATGTATATAAACTTTGAAAATAAAGATTTTTTAATATGTATGATGAATTGTTTTATTATATTAAATTACTTATGTTATTCATTTATAAATATAAAACAAAAAACACAGATTTCATAAATTCGCAACCAAAATTATAGGGAGGGAGGGGAAGTCATAATTTGTCAATTTAAGGTAAATACACTTTAATATGTATTTTAAATCATAATGAAGCTCATACCTAAGTCATAATACGATACACGTATTCCCGCATTTGTTTTTATTATTAGTTTACAGTTTTCTGCTATTTAAAAATTTGTTTATTGCGGAGGGTTATAAATTATTTTATCTTGATAAATTAGGCAGTTCAAACGCCAACTAACCACACGCCAATGAAAATTTGCGACTACAAAACATGAACTTCTCGGCTGTAAAATCAATTTGAATTTCCCAGCCCATATTAATAATATGAAATATAGTTGAGCTCATGTACGCGCTGTTATTAGTGCTACTATACGCCACTTTCCAATATGTTTTCCGTAATCTGCTTTCGTACTTTCGTGAGTAAAAATAGACACTGATTTTTTTTAATAATAATCTGCAGTTAACAGATTAATATTATATTATACACTATCATCGTACGTATTATAAATGTTTTATAATATAGTTTGTGTGCATGTGTGTGGTGGTGTGCACATTTTTATTGGATTTCTGTAAAACGACTGCGACGGTGCGCGAGATGAGACGTGACAATAAATATATGTTTAAGAGTTTTTTTTACCTTTATGATTATTATTATTATTATTATTATTATTATTATTTGTACCCTTATACCGCGGTGGATGGCGTGTAGCCGCAAACCTCGGGACAAATCGGATATTTGATAATTTCAAGTTGGAACAAATCGGGTGGAAAAGATTTCCATCTCCGTCGCGACCGACGACGAATGCTACATCTAGTCACATCGCCTCGGGCCTGTGCCGTGCATAACATTATTTCCTTTCACGTTCCTAATTGCAAATCAGCCAGTTCCGGCGGAAACTCCAATTTTGTATTATATATTTTCCCCGTATTATTATTATTATTTATTTCGTTATTACTTATTTTTTTATACTCGCGGGGTTATCTTATATGTTTATTATTCTTTATACATTTATATTATTGTTCGTCTTAAGTATCGCGAGCAATATCGCGTCTACATTTTTCTTGTGCCCGGTACCTATAATATGGTTTAGCAGTCAATGCGGAGATAAAACGATTCGTCTTCGTATAAATCTCCGATGGAAGCAACCGTTCGATCCGACCGGAAAATAACAAACTTTTTAAACGAACTGCGAAAGTTTTTTTTAAGGCCTAATGTAAATGTCGTCTGATCCCCATTTGCTCTAATACTATATATTTATACCTGTATATTTGTACTGCCGACGAGCTCTTGAAGCAATTTTCTACGAGTCCTACACAAGAAATCTGGTCTACCACTTTATAGTTTCCTAAATCAAGATAAACTGCGCCGGGAAAATAGGACTTTTCAAAGTAATGTCTTCGACTTTTAACAATTTTAGGTGTAAAGATAGGTGACTCTCGCAGTATTACGTAACACGTACTGACAGTGTTTTTAGTGATTTGTTATTGTTATTTTCACATTCACACAACTCATTATTTACCGTCAGTTTCCTTTTATTCGTATTGGGTATCTTAAATAAAATTTATAGCATAATATTAAATAGAAAGGCAATTATAGTACTAAATCAGAATATTATTTAAAATTAAAATCAAATAAGGGTACTTACATACAAAATGTTAACCAACGAATATTAATTCTTGTTCTGTTTTATGTTTGTGTGACTGTGTGTGAATTTTTAATATATAGTTAGTATATTATTATAATATGGTACATTAAAAATGTGTATATTTTTCATAAACTTTTACGAATAATTAGAATGTGGTCGTTTTAATAACTTTAACCAAAAATAAAAAATATTTTTTAAGTACTTTTACTATTTAATAATATACAATAATATTATATTAGATCTTTAACATAGTGAAACTTTTACTTAGAAAACACTAAAACAGTTGTAGCTTCCCAAATTTTGTTAGTCATTAAAATTTAAATTCTGCTATAAGACTTAAATATTATAATTTATAATCCTCTATGTATAGACTTTAGTCAAACATCAATATTTAAACTTCTCATAATTGTTTTAAATCGCAATCCCTGTATCTTATCACTGAATATTATTATCTTTCTCATACGAAACGAAAATGTTTGTGGGTCGATTCGACTACAATGCAACTTAAATGTTGACAGATCAAGATGCGTTAAAAAAATTATATTTTCTAGTACCTATTGAAGTACATTGAAGTATCCAATTGTATACGGTAGAATAGAACAAAAGGTTAAAAACCATGTCAAAATACGTTAATGGTCGAATGTGAATATTGCAGGTTCGCATTTTCCGAGCTTAGTTCCAAGAAGTTTTGTTTCAGAGATTTCACATAATAGGTATAACCTAGATATTCGTATAACTCTATGGAGTTGAGCATTTTCTGTTTTCCGAAAGTACCTAAACATGCACCGCAACCGTCACTACAGTTGAAATTACTACCTAGTTGTTCTTATTATATATATATTACTAATCTTTGTTTTTATCTGTACATAGGTTCTTCTTTATCCGGAAGAAGGATGGGCACGAAGTGCAGTTTCGAGTTATTGGACCCTCACGCCAACTTGGTGGAATCGAAGCAAATGTAAAGTAGTAGAAGTCACAGGCACTAGGAAGTAAGAACATTTAATTATATGATAATAATAAATATAACATTATTGTGTACTATATATATATATTAATAATTAGCATATATTTTAATATCAGAGACTATGGCGTTCATAGCAAGTAATATGTTGTGCTTATTGGGGAAGTCGATAAAATGGCATCCAACGATTTTATATATTATTATATAATATGCATATATATTTGAAATACCTATTTATTTAAAATTAAGACATTATAATTATATTTAAATGTAATCGATTATCATTTATCACATTACGATAAATATGATTACCTACTATAGAGTGAGGAAGCAGCCCATTTACAGTACCTCCGAATTTTAGTAGCTATATAGGTACTACAATTAAGTAAACGAATATAAAGCACTTTATTTTTGATATCCTTGCAGATTTAGCCCGAAGAGTAAATGATTATTATGATAATAAGATATAATGCACCAGAAATCGAAAAAGTATGTAGTAGGATACGTGTGATAATAATTCGTTTTGAAACATATATATTGTAGTTCAAGTAGGTTAGCAGTTTTATATTCGTCTTGTGAATTATTGTAAGTCATATTGCAAGTATAGGTACCTAGTAGATATACTAAAATAAAGAAATAAACGTATCTATTATTTTATTATACCTCATATTATAAGCTACACCACATAAACTGCTATATCATCGGTTTCGTTTTTTTTTTATACGAGAAAATGAGTTTTTTAATTCTCGTGTAAAATCGGAGAACGTATAGTTACTTACTGTACTTACTTATATACTTTTTTTTGAAGTCACTTTAACGGTTGGTATAACATTGTTCAAGTATGGTGTACATTTTAGTAAATACCATCATATCCCGTATGATGCAGTGTATGCTTAGGTCGGTCGTGCGTTCGATGAACCGTCCCAAAATATTATATACGTGGACCATAATTTTAATTTAGTGCAGCGCGTATCGTGTTTTATTTTCAATTCGAAACGTTAAACTTTTGATAAACAAACGAAAAAATATAATAAACCGAAAAATTTAATCCGATTTGCAGTGTAGAGTTTCTTTAACAAGATGACTCCGGTGTATTATTTGTCTAACGTAATGCAATTTAAGGTGTTATCCTCCGCAAAGCTCGTTTAGTATTCCAAACGGCATTTTGTAAAGTCGAACGGGCGAGCTGAAGAATAGATGGGTTCTTCTTCTTATTTTACCCCCATCACCATTGTCGTCGTACACCTAAACTCAAATTTCATACTAATACCTAATTTTACACATCGCAGATTTTTGTTTTAAAACCATGTTCGCATACTTACCACGTTATAGCTCATGATATCACATCGATATATAATATATATATTTATATCACACGGTAATATTATGATATTGTGAACGGCCTACGCGTATTTACAGTGCTTAAAATAAATGTCCCACGAGATAATGACATGTATATTATATTCAGCATGACATTTATATTCTTGACGTGCTCTGTACTACGAGAAAATTTGAATTTCCATCATTTGGGATGGTGGAATAAAATTAATGTAAGATATAATGTTGAATAATGTCAAAATAAATTATTTGGTTGGATTTATGTTCATTACTCAAAAGTCAAAAAGGAAATTACATTTTTGATTTAATTATTTAATTTAAATTCCAATAGGTACAATATTTGGTATTGGGTTTTCAATAATGTTGATAAATATTTATATTTTGAATCATATTGATTTTAATTACCTACTTGTCCTTAGATATTGGAAATTGGACACGCATATTATATTTTGAACAAGTCACTTATCACACTTCCAGTTTTTAAAAAACGTGTCGAAATCCGTTTTGTGCAAACTCTTGAAGATTTTCGGGTAAACGAATCAATGTTCAGAAATGTTTTTTGAATGTTTTTATGAAATGATTGATTATAATAATGGTGTCAAACTAAAAATAAAAAATAAATAGCTATAACTCGTACCATGTTGTCAACGATGTAATGCAAGTTCACAACCTTTGCTCTCACTTTTTTCATACTTAGAGTTAACTAATATTTATTTTGATATTCATTTGTATTCAATTTGTATTAATTAATACTTTATTTGATATAAAATATTTGTTTACGTTTATTTACTATACTACTAAAAACAGTTTTTGAAGAAGTTAAAGTGCTTAAAAGTTCAGTTTAGAAATTCAACATAGTTTGCATTAAAATAATATTGTATGTAATATTTCCAAAAAGTTGTCTTAAAATTTCCAAAAGTTGATAAAAATAAAACAAGAGGATTAAAAGTTTGTAATAATTTGTAGTTTTTTTAATTATGTTTCATCTTAGTAAAATACTAAAATGTGATCCATTAAGAAGTATTTTTTCAATTTTACGATCTAACATAATATTATTAAAGGATATAATTTATAAGGTACGATGGAACTGTATTGTACGAAATTGAACCTAAGACCAAGTTACATACTCTATTTGTATTTTATTTTTTTATTTTTTCATTATTAATGCAATTCAAGTTATCGATTTCAATATTATTGAGGGCAATTGAGATGTGTCTGTAAAAAGAGGATTGTGCATTCGTGCATGTGAATACTTTTATTCACATCTCATGATATACACTAAATTATATACACAAGCATAATATTATATAAAACTAGCTGATCCCGTGCACTTCGTTTCCCGTTAAATGTATAAACTCTATATGACTCAAACTTTGTTCAATTCGTTATTTAATATTCGGTGTATGGTGTTCAAAATTTATCTTAACTCTTCTATTACCTGGGATAAAAATTCTGATTCGCTGCAGTATATTATCAGGTAGGCAATCTACCTGTGGTAGATCGTGGACCCCGTGCTGTTTGTACGTACCTTTATAATTTAACTCTAAAGTATCAAAGTTATACCAAGTATGTCACTGAACTCCTCCTAAAAGTTGGACTAATCGTGAATGCCAAGTCTGTCGACCAATATTTTCTCCTCATCCGCGAAGACGTGGCATTGTTTTATGTACGTAACTTATATGTGAGTATAATATGCTCAATATTTAAGCTATTGAGATTCATATAATATCAAAACACAGCGAACAAAAAAATTAAATGCATTGAATGAATACACTGATTTCATGGCAACCAATAATTATTATTATAATAGCTTTAAAACCCATGGTGACCATTTATAAACAAAAATTTCCACCGTAAATCTCTAAATCCCCGTTTGAGCACATACCCTGGTTGGACCTAGGGGGATGATTTGTGAACTAAATTATCCGGGGCGTCACCCAAACCCATACAAAAAAATTCATTCAAATCGGTCCAACAGTTTAGGAGGAGTTCTGTCACAACACACGTACAGTAGAATTATATATTATATAAAGATTTATTTATATTTATTGTTTGAATGTCATTTATTTTTAGCCAGCGACTATTTCTTACTAACAATGGTATATATGTATACGATTTACATATGTATTCGATTAAAATTAGAATTAAAAAATTCACACAGTATATCTTTATAAATTGTAGCCTATGTGTTATTCTGATGTTTGAGCTACATTATTGTAAAGTTTCATTAAGAGCCATTCAGTAGTTTTTACGTGGAAGGGTAACAAACATACTTACAAACTTTCGCGTTTATAATATTAGTAGGATGTATAGCTATACTATTTACTCAGTTAGTTATGAATTATTATTATTGTTCTAACTAAGAAAATATTAATCGTAGGGACTTACAACTTTTTGACTTCACGGATATATTATTATTTTGTAACATACATAATGATATTTTCAAAAATATTTAGACTATTTTAAAGCTATTTGGCTTAAACCACGAACTTATACTTATCGTTATAATATAATGGTAGCAACGGATATCAGCCATGGGTCGTCATTGGGGGGGGGGGGGGGGCAATGTATTTTAGCACCCTTATTTTTTTCTGTCCTGACTTAAAATTTACAATTGCGCCAACGGACGATGGCCTACTCGTACCAATTAAAATATATTATTTGTTATGAATAGGTACTATAATGCATTATATTGCTATTATACTTTTCATCAAAATCAATTGAAAGTCACACATTTTATGTATAAAATATGTTTTAATAATTGAACAATAATTTATAATTTGTATGATGTTTAATAGTTTTTAATGTTGTATAATACACTTTGATCACGTAACTAGTCTAAAGTTTTGAAATAATAAGTTTCAAAAGACGCCTTAGTAACTTTTATGTATAAATATTAAAGTCTTTTATTAATTTTTAAAAAAACCATTGAAAATTTAAATCGAATACAATACTCGATTTTTACAGTGATTTATTATTCTTAATTACACTACGATTGCATAACTTTTTATTTATTCAAATAAAACTTGATATTTAATGAAAATATTATAATATGAATGTCATCGAGAATACCATAATGATATTATATATTTAGTGTAATTAGCATGTAACATATATACATCGTAAAATACTATCTACTTATAAAATTAACTTACAAGAAAAGCCGGATTTAATTTCACTCAGAAAGTACTTTAGTCTCGGAATAGATTACTCGGGCAGTTGTATTAGGACTATAATTTAATACGAAGGCCACTGATATACCCTCATTTTCGGGGCAGAACACTGGCAATAACAATACATAATATACAATAATACGTCTACTGTTTGCGCCGTGCAATTATTTTGTATTAACATTTATGATATTATTATGTCCTATCTCGCATTCAATTTGCAATATCTTTTAACTCTATAGGATACGGACTACAGATGGCAGTACATACCTATATCTGTAAAGAGTCCATTGCTATTTTACAAAGTATTATTTTGTTCAGTCATTAATAAATACATTAGGTGTTTAATATTTTCAACCAGTATTGTACTTACTAACAATCACAGTAAACTTTGGTATCGTGAAAAGTGTGTTCGAAAATAAAACATATAGTATGGACCATATAGTCTTAAACATAACCTATAATAAGGATTTTTGATCTTATATAATAACAAAAAAACAATATTTAGACTTCAGTTCAG